GTCAAGTTATTATTTGTTGCTCTTACAACTGGGATCGACGACAACCCCACTTTTGTTAGGTTGTGTATAGTAGCATAACTGTTGGCACCAATTGCCTTTTTCCCAAAGATTTAATCTTAAAATAAATAAAATAATCTGCAATAATAAAAAAAAAATTGTAGTTGAAATCAAAAAGGAATTAATTATGAATGAAACAAATATACATATTTAATGATTAAATGACAGTTAATTACATTTAAAAATCTACAAATAAAAACACCTTTTTACAGAACTGTGTATTTGTATGAGCCATGTGACCCAGAGGTCAAGTGCTGCTAGCTGGCCTGTAGAAGAAGGTCAGAATAGACTCTCGTGTTTTAAATGTTTGCCAAACATCAAACTTAGCTTTCTCATTACCACATCTATCACCTCAACCTCTTTTGCTCACCCTGTGAAAATGTAAACACCTCAGTGGATGGAAACTGATCTGGTAATCAAGAAAACAAGGAGCAAATCATGACAGCACCAGCGCTACAGTTCATAAACATCAGCTAAAGGAACTCATATTGACCATTCAAACCTCTTGTGAATGAATTCAGAGGAGAATCTGCTTGAAAGCAGACAAAAAGACGGATACAGAGAGAGAACAAACTGTACCTGACACGAACTGCCCTTGATGATAAAGATGAGAGATAATCATAAACACCAACTGCTCAGCTCACTTGTTTTGTCGGTTGTTTTGTTTTCTTTTGCAGGACGAGTGCAGTATGTTCTTAGCTGTATTTTTTTTTTACTTCATTTTGTAATTTTTACCTAAATTAAATAATATTGATGCACAAATGAAGCGGATTTGACTTACAAATAAAGTGGATTTTGATGCGCAAATGAAAGTTTGAGTAAACTCAAATGTTTACACATCTACTTACACGCAAATAGCTCGATTTATCTGCGCGTTCTGCATTTGGTGTAAACAAAGCATTACAATAATGGTCCAAAAACTAGTACTTCCAAATTTATATGTTATAAAAAATACACATTTAAAAAACAAAGATTAAAAATCAAGAGATGCAAAAAAAATAAAAAAATGGAAATTTAATGGAAATTTTTTAGGCTGTATTTTGATTAATTTTTTTGCTTGAATTTAGTTGTATTATCTTTCAATTTCTAAATATGTTTGTGACTAAAATATTATTTTAATAAATATTTCTGTTTAATAAATCTGTTTTGCTTAAATGCACCAAAATATATTGCCTATATTCACTGAGAAATGGATATAAATAATCGTTTTCAAATTGGTGTGTACTTAATTATGCTGAGCACTGTATATCAAATTTTTTTTAATATTCTTTATAAAGAATATTAAGATGTATTCATTCATTTATTCATTTTCTTGTCGGCTTAGTCTCTTTATTAATTCGGGGTTGCCACAGCGGAATGAATCGGCAACTTATCCAGCACATTTTTACACAGCAGTTGCCCTTCCAGCCACAACCCATCTCTGGGAATCATCCAAACACACATTCATACACTACGGACAGTTTAGTCTACCCAATTCACCTGTACCACATGTCTTTGGACTGTGGGGGAAACCGGAGCACCTGAAGGAAACCCATGCGAACGCAGGGAGAACATGCAAACTCCACAAAGAAACGCCAACTGAGCCGAGGATCGAACCAGCGACCTTCTTGCTGTGAGGCTACAGCACTACCTACTGCGCCACTACAGGTGTTGGCAGAATTGGGCATCTTTAGATGGACAGTGGAAAATAATAAACCTATTAAAATGATTTAAGACCTACAAGTCAATATTTCAGTAATTTTAAGACTTTTAAAGGCCTAAAAATTTGTTTTTGAAATTTAAGGCATCTTTTTAAGACCATGCGAATACCCTGTGTGCCCTGTTGTTTTTAATTATTCATTATTATTATCATCATTTTCCTTTTTTTATTGCTGTTCTCTCATTTCTTTTTGTTTTTCTCTGTATTAAATATCATTCATGTTAACAGTTACAGAATTGTATTCTGAAATGTATAGAAAGTCAGCTGAACGAATTTCTCCTGTGCATACTGTAGCTCTGTATTGCAATTGTTGACAATTGAAAAAAAAAAGTTATATGTGACTGAACAGAAGACAGTATTCCTAGTACACATATGGAGGACAAAAACCTCACTTGAGTTATACAACATCTGAACAGTGCCTTTAGATGTGATTTCTCTATTGACTCTGAGTTGTGCAGTATCTTTTTTTTATTAAAATGTTGTTTATTCCTTAAATGTTTATATAGATTTTTATATTGTTGTTTTCTCTACATCAGAAACACACATTTAATTGTCTCTACAATAAACGGCAACACGGTGCATGCAATGATGGGCAGCGTTCACTGCCTTTTCTTTAACAAAACAAATGAGACAAAAAAAAATCAATAAACCTTTCAGACACTGCATCCATTTGGCAGAGCTGTTCCAGCCCAACTTTCTCAAATGACAGGGAAAAGAGGTGGTGGGGAAAAAGTGGAAAGCAATAAGAAATGCTATCAGGTTACTACCTATCTTTGCGATCATCAGCTCAGAGAAAGAAACAGCAGATTGCTGCAGATGAGAACACAGTCACTGTAAATCACAGATCATGGATATGTTAAATGTGTTTGCTCTGGTAACAAATCTTTTTCCTTATCCTTATGTTTGTGATAATTTCATGTAAAAATACCAAGCATAATGTTATTTAAAGGATAGACAAAAGTGAAGGATAAAGCCAAACATACAGTTCAAGTCAGAATTATTAGCCCTCCTGAATTATTAGCCGCTGGTATATTTTTCCCAATGTCATCTTTTCAAATTATTTTTTATCATAATAGTTTAATAACTCATTTCTTTTATCTTTGCCATGATGACAGTATTTAATATTTTACTGATATATTTTAAGATACTAGTATTCAACTTAAAGTGCCTTTTAAAGGCTTAACTAGATTAATTAGGTTAACTAGCCAAGTTAGGGTAATTAGGCACGTTATTGTATAACAGTGGTTTGTTCTGACTATCTATTCAATTATTCAATCATTTTCTTTTCAGCTTAGTCCCTTTATCAATCTAAGGTTGCCACAGTGGAATAAACCACCAGCTTATCAAGCATATGGTTTATGCAGCAGATAAAACATCCATACACACTCATTCACACACATACACTACGGCCAATTTAGCTTACCCAATTCAAGTAAAAAGCGAGTTTGGCATGCTGTCCTGGGAGAGAGCCCTTAGCTAAGAAAATCCTCAAGCTCGGGGCTCCTTCCCATTTTATCGAGAGAAGGGGGAGTCTGAGCTCAAGTAGGTCTCAAGAGCTCGCGTGTATTTATTTAAGAAAGAGGGGAAGGAGGGCTGGATGAGGCTGGATTCTTAAAACCGCAGATAAGGAAAGGTAAGGAAATACGGCTATTTATTCATCTGATTGGTATATCATGTGATTACTTATGCGGGACCCGCTGTGGTCAATAATAAGCATGTGATCCTCTCGAAATTATATACTGTAAACTTCACATATTTTGCTTTAGTTCCTGATTTATCAGGGGTAACCACAGTGGAATGAACTGACAATTATTCTGGCATTTGTTTTATGAGGCAGATGCCCTTGCAGCCACATCACAGCACTGGGAAACACCCATATACTGTTTCAATCACACACACACTCATACATTTCTGTCAATTTAGTTTAACCAATTCTCCTGTATAAATATCTGTGGTTTTTGAGGTCAAAAAAGTAATGAAGAACTAAGGGTGCTTTCACATCTGTAGTTCGCTTCATTTGGTCCGGACCAAAGGTATTAAATGATACATTGTTGCATCTTCTGCCGTCTTTGGGTCGTTTTTACACCACACTGCTGGCTTTGGTCCGAACCAGTTGAAACGAACCAAAATGCAGTCATCTGACAAAACCCACATCTCTAATTGGCCAGATGTTGTTAAAGATATTTCCTAAACTGCTTATTGATTGGTCAGAATTCACGTGCGGGAAAATGCCAGTGAAGTCCCGCAGGTAAACAAAACCTTTTACTCCGGAGGGACGACTGCGCTGGCTGATTGTATACTTGCTTCAGACAAACTATACATTACGAAAATGAAGCGCGGCCGTGGCTGGAAAACAGTGTTTAATGCATTACTCGTCACTTCAGGAGGAGACGTGAATTAATTTAGCTAAACTGCGACATGGTCATCTTGCGGAAATATTACGATCCATCAGGTAACGTTTTCCCCTCTCTGTTGGTAAAGCGCTGTCAACAAATATTTTTCCTCCATATCCCATAATGCACAGCGCATCAGCCTACGGCAGCTGAATTAGTCCAAAATGCGCAGTACTTTTTGCGGTTGGACCTATTTTAGTACGGATAATATTCTCACCACAAACAAACCGCTCCAGGGTTCGTTTGAAAGCGTACCGAGACCACCTCTTCAAGCAGGTCTCGGTACGCTTATTTAGTCCGCTTTTGGTGCGCACTCGAGTACGATTGCTGCATTCTCACTAGCCCAAACGAACCGTACCAAAAGGGGAAACGAACTCTAGTGCGATTCAATCGAACTAAATAAGGCAGGTGTGAAAGCATCCTAAGATGTTCAAATTTGTTTACGTTTTTCAAAAAAAAATAATAATAAATAAATAATCAAAATAATCTGAAATTTTGCACACAAAATCCAAGTGGGACACGTATTTAACAGCTACAGCCATGCGACTGCATTTGAAAGGCTGTGTAAAAAATTGTGAAAAGAATAAAACAGCAGTGTAAAATAGCCTAAAAAACATGATAAAAACCACAGTATAAAAAATAAAACACATCTTGATAAAAGGGAGGTTGAATTTGAAACAATCTGACAAACAGAAATTGCTGATATTGCATGACTTAAACAAGTAATATAAAGTCCCCTGACTTTCAAAATGGACCTTTTAAGAAGTTCCATGACCATGGGAACCCAGTAACTTCATCATCATCATCAGCAGCATGTTGACTGTGTGCTCAAGCAGATGTGGTTCCCCTACCGTGATGGTTCTCCTCCGACTGGTTGAATCCGCACAGCTGGCAGATGGAGCGAACCCAGCGGTTCATCTCCTCCTCAGTTTCAGCAACCAGGTAGAAGGTCCTCTCTGCTGTCTTGATGTCAAAGACAAAGCTGTCCTGAAACTCCTTGCGCTTGAAGGTGAGGCCTGCGTCCACCTGCTCGCAGCAGTGCAGGTCAATGATGCGGATGGGCTTTTTGGCATGATCGCTCTTGTAATACTCCAACACATCCGGGTCTCCGCTCATGCGGCCGCTGCGCAGGATAAACCATCGCTTCTTCCATGCCTGGGGAGAAATAAAAACAATTATGATTGAGGATAAAATCAATTTAGATAACACCGAACAACGATTTGCAAACTATTATATTAAAAGCATTAGATTAGAAAAAAGTCAAGACAAACTTTAATGTTGGCTTGACAATCACACTGTTAACTATTTCCTGTAGAATTTACAGTTTACAGTAACTTACTGGCAGCAGTTGGCCAGTAACTTACTGTAAATCCGAGGATCTCAACATATATCATTAAGGGGCCCACCTCCTTCTCTAATAAATTTTTGAAGGCCTACCTGTAGACAGACAGACAGACAGACAGACAGACAGACAGACAGACAGATAGATAGATAGATAGACAGACAGACAGACAGACAGACAGACTATTCACTACTAAAACACCACAGAGTCTCGCTAGATCCTCCTGGACGGATGCATGTTCATTATAAAACACTGTTAGGACATTAATTTGGACAACTGTATCTAGTAGATATATGAAAGTGTTCACCAAAGAGAGCACACATAGTTTGTAAATCAATGGGCTTGATCTACTCTGATACACTATGAGTTACAGGTTATTATAAGTAGCTGGTTATTAAAACTAATCATCGTTACCTTTGCATTTGTGTGATGGCTTGCTTTATAAACTGAGAATGTACTCCTAATTGGTTTGCAGCGGTTATGTCGGTATTTAACAGTGAGGCTGCTTTTGCACCGAGTCCGAAGTAATCAGAAAACAATAAATGCCAATAGTTCAGACACTTTAAAATAACATATTCAATAATAAAATCAAACAATGAACGCTTTTCACAAGCCTGTTATGACGCTTTTAACGGTCATCGGCATCTTAAGGCCTTGAAAGTTTTTAATATTTAGTTTAAAAAAAATAATAATAAAATTTATATGTATTTCCTTATGCAGTATATCATCTTTGCAATAAATTACAAAAAGAAAAAAAAAAATACAGTTTGTGTGAGGCGTTGCTAATGTAGCGTCTATGATCTCACAATGGTCAGCCTGATCTCACAAGAAAAAAATATTTTATGTTTTGTTAGTTTAGTGGCTAATTCGTATGAGTTCCGTCGTACGAAAATGTACAATTTTAGGAGGCACCCAACCCCACCTCTAAACCAAACCGTCATTGGGTGATGAGCAAATTGTACAAATTAGATTATATGAATTTATACGATTTTGCCACAAAATCAATGTTACATATTGCTGTGAGATCATGTTGGATAGGACAGTACATTTGACGTTATTCTCTCCTCTGGCTGCCCAGTTGCACACATTTTTTTTCCTTTCTCTTAAAGTCTTGATAACACCATTGAGGAGGTTTTTTATTAGTATTTGATCAAATAGGATTGTAAAAAAAATATTTGTTGTATTCTCTCATTCACTGTGCTCTAAGTTTTCCCAACTATGACGACTTCCGCTACTGAGAAAACTGGAAATGTTAAAAGGGTCTATTATAGTTTACTATTTAAACCACTGAGGCCTCAGTGATCCTACAGGTAGGCTGTTTAAAATTAACTTAAATAATAAATGATAGTTGTTTGATGTAACTCTTAAATCACTGGTTAAGAATTCCTACTGTAAATCAATTACAGCAAAAAAATAAATAAATATGCAAGTACATGTACGCTTTATTTATCTTGCTGTATGTGCATGTACAGTATTGCATATTTTACAGTAAAATATAGTCATTTTTACAATGTGACTTTAAAATTCATTAACATATAGCATAACTGTCCTGCAGTACAATATAGTTCCTATTGCAGTTAAATACTATGTAATTTTTTGAAGTATTTAAATAATGTTTGTTAGTTACAAAGTTTTTAACTGTAATAGGAACTGTATTGTACTTTAAGACAGTTATGCTATATGTTAATGTTAAAGTCGCCTTGTGAAAATAGCAGTGCAAATCTGGAGTATTTAAATAATATTCATCAATTACTTCAACTTTGTTAAAACTTTACATACTTTTTTAAAAAACAGTACTATTTTATTTTACTTTTAAATATATAATTTTAATCGTTTAAGTTTTTTTTAATTATTAGTAAGCACAGTGTCATGTTAATTTTCAAACTGTTTAAACAATGTTTAAGGTGGTCAACAATAACAAATATTCTTATTAAAAATAAGACTAAAAAGAACTGTAGCTGAATGATTATTGTATTATTTTGAATGATTTTTTCATTCGCTCTTTTCGAATGTTTAACTGAAGAGTTTATATGTAAAAAAACAAAATGCCATTTAATATTATATTCTAAAATTAACATTTTTCTCCAACTCATGAGTGTTTGCTCAGTAATTGTCTGTTAATAGTGATGATTAAGTTCTTTTCATTGCCTTTAAAGTAGAGATGCCCAAACTATGTCCCATGGTAACCTTTGAGTTGGCCCGCCATGCCATCAGAGAATAAAGACGATGTTTAGAAAACATCAATTAAAAATTAATACAATGCTTTGTTTGTTTGTTTGTTTAAAGCTAACTGAAATTAAGCTCTTCAATAAAATTTTAATAATTAGATTTTGTTTAAATGTACATACTGTCATCCGGCAATGCAAAGACTTTGGTAAGCAAATCAATGCAAAGGAAGATTCTGCTTGACCTGTGTACTTAAAAGTGAAGTGAACACTATACTATCAGTGGGCGTCGTTTTTCGGAAGAGACGTTAAACCAAGGTCCTGACTCTCTGTGGTCATTAAAAATCCCATGGCACTTCTCGTAAAGAGTAGAGGTGTAACCTGGGTGTCCCTCAATCGGCCCTTACGATTATGGCTTTCCAATCATACCAATCCATTGAATTGGCTCTGTCACTATCTCTCCAGAACACACGTTACATTATATTCCATTACATTCAGCATTGAACACCACGTTTTTGGGACAATATTTATAGCCAAAATTTCAAAGCGTAGCCTTGGGCTGGAGGGGGTCCAGTTCAGGCACCACAGGACTTAATCTCTGTTATTCACAGATGATGTTGTTGTGTTGGCTTCATCAAACATGGACCTTCAGCATGCATTGGGGTGGTTTGCTGCCGAGTGTGACGCAGCTGGGATAAAAATCAGCACCTCCAAGTCCGAGGCCTTTGTGCTCCACCGGAAAAAGGTGGTTTGCCATCTCCATTTTGGAGGACAGTTCTTACCCTAGGTGGAGAAGTTCAAGTATGTTAGGGTTTTGTTCACGAGTGAGGGAAGGATGGAACGTGAGATTGACAAGAAGATTGGTGCAGCGGCGGCAGTAATGCGGTCGATGTATCGGTCTGTTGCGGTAAAGAAGGAGCTGAGCCAAAAGGCAAATCTCTTGATTTACCAGTCAATCTACATTCCTACTCTCACCTATGGTCATGACCTTTGGGTCATGACTGCAAAGCCAAGATCTGGTATACAATCGACTGAAATGAGTTTACTTCTCAGGGTGGCAGGGCACATCCTTATAGATTAAGGTTAAGGAGCTCTGTCACCGGAGAAGAGCTCGGAGTAGAGCCGCTGCTCCTCCACATCGAGAGAAGTCAGCTTAGGTGGCTCGGGCATCTGTTTCGAATGCCTCCTAGACGCCTACCTAGGGAGGTGTTCCAGCCATGTCCCACAGGGAGAAGGCCTTAGGGAAAACTGAGGACACGCTGACGAGACTACCTCGGAATCCCCCGGAGAATCTGGAGGAAGTGTCTTGGGAGAGGGAAGTATAGAGTTCTCTCCTATGACTGCTGCCCCCATGACTTGGCCCCGGATAAGTGGACAAAAATGAGATGAGATGAGGTAATATTTTCTATTTATTTTCAAAAATTATTAAATAAATTAAGAAATTACCCATGGCAACTATGTAATACAGTTTGGTATATTTACCTTTGGCCAACGGCTCTCAAAGATATTTGGTTTTTGGACCTTCATACAAAAAAAAGTTTGGGCACCCCATAAGACGACCCCAAACATAGGAGGCTGATTTTAGGAGAACATATCAGACGGCATTTGGAGGTTTTTGCATCTGAACTTTTTAACTGTCACAGTATTGTAGCTTTAAAATCAAATAAAACATGAAGCTACTATATTTTTGTTGTTAACATTTAGTGGCAAAATCTATATGTGCATGCTTCTTTCATTTTAATAAGTCAATTGTATTTCTTAATCTCATTTTACTGTTCATTTTAAACAGAAACATGAAGCCCCTCATTCAACGTAAAACCAACAGTTAACAAAGTCTTCAGTTTGTGTTTGTGCTTCATTTACACTGATCAAAAACACGATTTGGTGTGTTTCTGTGGGTGTGTTCCACTTTAAGTGTGTGTTTTATTTGAGACAGGTGCAACTCCCACACACCGTTTCCTGCTCAGACAGAGCTCTGAGGGGGGAGACAAACAGACACGCACACATGCACACACTCACATACACACACGATCGCAAGCGTCTGCTGTTTGATGATCCATAAAATCTGACGTGACTCACAAACACACATTACGCTTCATCTGCAAACACCAGGATTTCCCAATTGTCCACAAACACACAGGTGCTTCATGTGTAGTAGACGGGACTTTCCCTTTCCCCATTTGAATGTAAATTGATGTCTCTGCTATAAAAAGAGGCAGAAAAACACCAAAGCACCAAATGCAAAAGCAGTTATTAAATCTAAATAAAAAAATGGGTGTATTTTGGGCAGTTCAGGGCTGCAGCCAATTAGAAAGCGGAGCACAGGTGAGGGCGGGGCTGCGTCTGAAGCTTTGTCGTCATGCACTGACACAAAAACAGTTTTGTAATGATGCTATAGGCTGTTTGCAATCACATGGTGACATGTGAAATTCAGATCAAGGGCAGGAAGTAAAAACTAAATGGGAGGCATAGAGGAAAGTCAGTATTTTTATGATTTATACCATATTTCAATAGAGATCTACATAGAAAAAATAACCACATACTGTATGTTGGGCACAATCCTTATACTATGAAGAGCACAGAGTTTTCTATTCAACTCATACTTGCCTGTCATCAAGGCGGTAGATACTGTAGGCCATGACATGGAA